GGCTCATCAAGTGTGAGTCAGGGCTAACAAGTCTGTTTACAGATAATCCTGCAGGCAGAGAACAAACTTGGCACTTGAAAAGTCCTTTCTGTCTGTTCATTAGGTGTGATGGAAAGAGTCTGAGTTTCCTGTTGTCAGTCACAGTTAAGCCAAGCTGTGACTTTGACCATCTGAAAGACACCTGACTGTCAAAGTGATGATGGGAGGATTAGTGGGTGAGGAGTAGCAAATGGAAGCTTTTCCATTTCAAAATCACTGGATCCTCAGGAAAGCTGTAAATAAGCAGCAGCAGTAACCTTGGAATGAAGTCGAATCTCTCCTGCCACGCCAATTTGGCTGCCAGATGCTCATGGCAAGTCTTCAGTGCGTGGTTTAAAGCTGCTGCTCCCTGGTGATAGATTTAACAGAGATGAGCAGCAAGGAGCAGGATAATTGTTTTTAAAACCAAAGTTCTTGTCACACAGAACTGGTCATGAGATTCCAGGAAACCCTCTGTGCATAAATAAACTTGCTGGATGTGTGAGTTGTCCGTCACCTCCCGGTGGGGTCATCGCTGGGTGTTACTTCTCTCCATGACCTGCCTTGGATCTCACTGCTGTGATTAGAACCAAGACAGGGAGGTCAGGAATAGTTCAGTCTTTTCCATGTGCTGTTGAGGATGAAGTCAATAGGAAGTAAATATTATTGACTGCTGTTTTCATTCAAAAATCAAGATTCATTGAGGTGAATATGAGGTCAATAGAAGCTCTCACGGGGGAGGAGACCAATAAATCATGACACGGAATAAAACAATATTTGTAATGCAGATAATTTTGGATATTGAACATTATTTGATCTAGTGTGTTTTCTTGTGTGTGTGTGTGGTTTTTTTATTTTAATTGTCCTGTTAAGTGAATTGGTAGGTTGTACCATTTAAAAAGACTTCTACTCTTCCTCCAATTATGTACTCTTTAACTACAGTGGATTGAATTTCTTTATAAAGAAATTGTAGAGTAATTTCTGTTGGAAGAGAACTTTGGAGTTTTCCTGGTCCAACCCCTGCTTGGGCCATGGCCAGTTTTCAATTAAAACTCAGTATTTTTGTGTTGTGATGATACCAACCATGGGCACTTTTCTGCAGTCTTGTCCCAGGGAAATTTTTCATCTTTCCTTAAGCCTTGGACCTAAAGAAGCAACCAGGACAACATGTGTGAGTAAAGCATAAGAACAGCTTTTAAACAAATGAATCTGCTTTGGATTCATCATTACATTTTAGCTTTGGGGTTGGAATGAACACGTGCAGATAAAACAATGCTGAGGCTCAATAACTGGTACTTCTGAAGAAAATATGTGAGGACAAAGCTTATGTTGTATATTTGTTCTGTCCTTGGTAGTGTGGGACTGTGGATACATTTAGGGTCATAAAATCTATAAGAAAGTGCCATGCAGTGTGTTAACGTGGTGATGGGCTGTCCAGGTTCCTGCTGGAAGGTGGAGTATTTAGTCCTGCCTTTGGGCACAACAGAACTCTACACATTTGATGTTTGCTGAGGATTTGAGGTGGTTTGAGGAAGCCTTATATTCCAGAAATGCTAGAGACACTTCTGAAAATCAAGGCACCCAAACACATTGTGAGGGAGGCAAACCAAAGCTCACTAGACTGTGAAATGCTGATCATCTTATGCATCTTCATGAAAGGGGCTGAGGACATGGCTGTAAAGCACAGATTGCCACAGGGAATTCCAGCTAGTTTTTCATGATCTGGCTTGGATACTAAAAGCAGAGGAGCTGAAATTCCACAAAGTTCAGGTAGGAGGGCTAATTAGTCTTGGTTGATTTACTTCCCTGGATGGAGCTCTTTCTCCACTTGAACCTCACTTGGGTGTAGGTGAGTTCTCTTTATGGAGTTGCTTTGTGCCATGTGAGCATATTCAGGTAGGATGTGTGTACAGGAGATCAGATTTATTCTGGGGAAGGGAGCACAAGAGAAGTGGAGGAGGAAGTGCTTAAAGTAGAGCTTGGCAAGTATGAGTCTTTTATAGCATCTTTAAGTGAATCAGACAATATGAGTTAGACAGCATTCTCACTGAAGATTTGACAACTCCTTTTGGACAGTTTCTTTTTTTCCTCCTTGTGTGTTCATGGCCTTAATTGATGTGGCTGCATCCTGCAGTTGGGAGCTGTGTACCTTCTCTCAGCCCAAGGCAGGGCCATTTGATTAGATTGTCAGCTGGTCAAAATAGCTGTTGCTCCACAGAAGTCAGTGGAGTCATGCCAGGTTATACCAGCTGAGAATGTGACCATCATTTTTATGGAGTCACATTTCTAACCCTTGCCGTGCTCCTGAATTCCTGAGCTGCAGCCAGGCTCTGTGATAGCTGCAGGGTAGGATTATCAGAAGCATCCAGCCTTGGCCTCACTCCACTCCCTCTGCAGCAGAGGGATGTTTGTTGTGTTACTGCATCCAGCCCCAGAGTCTAATGGCTTGGATTCAATTAGGCTGCTGCTGGAATGCTGAGGATCTGCTCCTCCACTGAAGCATGCCAGCTGCAATCCATGGAAAGCAGCAAGGCTGGGATGTTCCACAGCTGCCCAAGGATCGGGCCTTGAGTCTGCTGCTTGTTGTACTCACAAAAAGAGGTTGGTAAATGGTAGGGAAAGCAGCCTCCTTTATGTCAACAGGGCATTTCCTTCCCTACCTGGAGATGTTTGGGTCTGGCATCCCCTGGGATGGCTGTTGAGAAGCAGCAAGTGCTCAAGGAGTAAGCATTGCCTCCTGGCTGGTCTTCCAGTGGCCTGGCAGGTGTTGGCATGGCCCTGCCATGTGCTACTGGAGCTCCTGGGTGTGCAGGGACTGACCTGTGGGCACATGGCAGCCCTTGGGTAGTGAGTAGCATTTCAGCCCTTCTGCAGATGGTCAGCTGCCCACTGCTGCCCCGTGTCCATGGGAAGAACAGGGCAGGCTGCCTTGGTGCCTGAGAGCTGCTCTCTCTGGCCAGATACTGTGCTTCTAGGAATGCAGATCCTAGTCCTGTTTTTCGCTTTTTTGTATATCCAGAGGCTGTTTAGTGTTTGGATGTGTTACTGCCAGTCACACAAAGCAGGAGGACGGAGGAAGGGACAGCCTCTGGTTGGGTCTCACTGAGGCGTTTGCTGCAGGATTGCCAACTCCAGCAGGGATTTCGGAGGAGGAAATCATTATCTGCACTCCTCTTCCTCAAATCTGCCTCCTACCCTAACATTAGAGAGCATCTCAAAGTAGCTGCCAGAGCAGCTGCCGTGCCAAGTACAGCATTCCCCAGGGGGGCCCTCCTCCAGGAGCAAGCTTCAGCCCGTGGTGGGAATGAAGGCCAGAGATAAGGTGGCTGTGTTGACTGACTTGCCACTATTCTTCCAGCTGGCTAAATGGAAATACCTCCCTTGCCAGCCCCTGCATAACTCATGTCTTCCCCTTTCCCCAAAGTGTGATGTGGCTTTTCCCTTTTTCCCCCTCTGTGCCCTCACCTGCTGTGCCCCAGAGAGCTGGAGGTGCCAGCACAGCTCTGCCTCTGGCTCGGTGCCCTCAGCTCTGCCTGGCAGGGCTGGCAGCTCCCCAGCCCTGTCGTGGCTCTTGCAGTGTGAGATCCGAGTGGGTAAATTCCAGCTGCTCCCGTGGAAGATGGGAGTGGCTCCTCTGTGACCAGGGAGGGCTGTGGGTGCCTGAGGGCACCACCAAGCTCCAGAGAGTTAGTGGAAAACTTGGCATGCAGCTGTATATAACACACACTGGTTCTTGTGGTGTCTGGGAATTTGTGTGTCACTGGGAATCCCAGTGTCCTTGTCCATGGATAAATCCTGTCCTGTTGTGCTCCATGAGCTGACCCTACAAGGTTTTGCAGGTCAAGGTTTGTGCTACTTTAAATTTTGTGAATTCCAGAGTTCTGTGTTTGTTTCATTACTCTTTTCCAGTGTTTCAGATTAAGGACTGATACTTGCTGAAGGCTTTAGAACGGCCAAAGACTTATAATTGTTTTTATATTGCCTAATTCTGTGTGAACTGGGGCAACATAAGAAAACAGGAAAAGCCCTGAGATAAAGAATACATTTAAGATGCTTTTTCTGTTCTATAATTGCCAAGCCCTCTGACCTGGGGTTGGATCTTGGAGTGAATCAGATCTAGGGCACTGTTTCAGCAAGTTTTTTCTTGAAGTGTTGTGTCCCTCACTCCAGCAGTTCAGTTCATTTTAGGCTGCAAGGCACCCAGCCTTGTTCTGCCACTGTTTGAATCCATGGGACATCTGCTGTACAACAAGTGTGCTGGGTTTGGGCCCTGCTCTGACTCAAGCAGGGCTCAGTAGATCCAGAAAAGAACAAAGATTCTTCTCCTAGGAGATAACTGAAGAGGGTATCATTGGGGGCTGTGAAATCCTGAGTGAAACAAGAAAACTGGATAGGGAATGCCCTTGCATTTTCTCTTCCAGGATGTGATTTAAGGGGCATCAAATGTAGCAATGAGATGGCAGACCCCAATCAAAAGGACATCCTTCCTCACACAGGGCACTGACTGCCCTGCCATGAGGGTTGTACATGTTGAGTTTCTGTGTGTCTCAAAAAGCAGTTGGATGAATTGAAGGAAGAAATGTCCACTGAGAGCTATTAAATGTAAAAGCTTTCATCAGCTGTGGCCACAGCGTGGGCTCACAGCACAGGCACATGGTTAACGGGTTCCTGCAAAAAGGGCTTTGGGAACTGCTCTGATCATCTCAGCTCACTTCTTCAGGTATCTGTCAGACCACTGAGAAACATTTCCAGTGCTAACCTACATGTTGTACCAGTGACCCACCACTCCTGCTCCCTTTGCTGCCTGCATAAAGGTCAAAGATAATGATTAAAAATAAATAAATAACCGAAGAAACCCCCACTGCTTCCCTCTCGGGTTACTCAAGCTTGAAATAAATCACCTTTCTATTTCTGAAGGCACAGATGACTTAAGCCAAATTGCATTTGGAGCCATTATCCTCACACTTATTTATGCTGTCGTGTCTTGTGCTAACACTTTGTGAAATATTTATTTGCTCCTGGCCTCCCGCAGCGTAGCTCTGGATTCATGAGGCTCCCGTGTTATGTCTCTATTCTGTGCAGCTGCATTCTGTCAAGGAAGGAGAACATGAAGATTGCAATCTATATTTTACATTATAACAACATCCTGCACATCACTCTGGGTGATGCCATTCAACAGGTGGATGTTTTGTTTGCAGGTGTCGGGCACGTGGGTTGTGTCAGAGGAACTAAATGTGCCTGTGGGCACCAAACCTCGTTGTCTGATGAACAATTCTTCTATATTTCCTTCCCAAGCCTGCCCTTGTGCTTGCTCTGCAGGGCCCAGGTAACTTGCATGAGAGAGTTTGAGAGGAAATGGGAATATTCTAAAAGACACCAACACACAAGTTAATGCTTCAAGAGGTGCAGCAATTACAAATTTCAGATTCTGTCCATATGAAATGCTGTAAATACCTTTACCTCCTATTCTGTGGTCAGAATCAACCCAGTAAGCATCTGAAATGGCTTCTCCAGGCACAGTGCCAGCTTCCCTTCCCTCGTCTGGAGGTGAAATGGGCTGTGGCAGTGCTCTCTGCAGCTCCTCTGCAGACTGCAGGCCTGGAAAGATGAGATCTGTCTGCTGGGCTTCCTTCCTCTTCCCTCCCCTCATCAGAAGACACAGTGCACGTATCTGTTTGGATCTCTGCGAGAAGACAGACTGTGTTTGCTGTGTTGGGATCAGGGTATCAGCTGATTTAAGATGCTGAGGTGCAGCTCCAACCTTGGCTGAGGCAGCAGAAGTCTGGTACAGAGAAACTGTCCTCTTGTTTCCAGCTCCCAGCTAAAATCCAGGCTAGCAGTGACTGTCATTTGCATAGAATGGCCAGTGATTAGTATAGAATGTGCAAACCATTTTCAGTCCAGTTATGGACAAATTTATCCAGTCTGAGAACCAATGGCAGAGTTGGCCCCTCATCTGAGCAGAGCTGCCAGTGACTGAGCCAGTGCTGCCTGTGAACTGCCTGTGAACTGCCTGCATCTGTAGGAATGGGGTCTAAAAAGCCTCAGGGTTGTGGCACATGACTGTACCATGTCGATTTTGGTGCTGTAAAATCGAACTTGCCAGTCTGATGTCACCACTAGAAAACCTTCCACGGGCTAAATCCCATTTTAGCTAAATATATTTTCATATATACACGTGTATATGGGGAAAGAGCTGCTAAACTGCTGGTGGTGTTTCTCGGTGAATCACACCAACAGGCTCCTTCTGGTGTTGGCTTTAAGTGACATTTGCTGTGTAAATGACACTGACATTCAAGCTGAGATGCTGGCTCTCCCAGCAGCTTGCTGGTTGTGCCCAGGAGAAGGGCCTGCAGCAAAGAGCTGGGGCTGTTTGGGGAGGAGAGCCTTGTTCTCACTTCAGCGCCTCCTCCTTGCTTTTGTGTCTCCAGGAGACCTGGGGACACGTTGATTTAGTGGCTGTGTCTCTGCAGGCAGTGACAGTGAGTGCAGCACAGGATGTGCACAGGGACAAGTGCCTTTTGCTGAACACTCAGCCCAGGTCGATGGGGTGTGTTTAAAGGAGTGATCACTTGAGATACCAAAAATTGCTGTACAGTGTGTGTGCACTGCTCCCCTGAAGGATGAGAAATCTGTATTAGGTGATGAATAGCTTTACTGGAAGAAATTGGGATTTATTTATTTATTTTTAACCAGAGGACAAGCTTTAAAAGCTGCAAACAGAGCTTTTCAAAGGACAAGTGGGAGTTAGTTGCCTAATTCACATTGACTTTCGGGGAGATCTGGTTGCTGAACTGCTCTTTATGCGTTTCAGAAATCTCCCCTTAGTCCACATAATCTCTCTGTAACCCCTTTTTAATTAGCTTGTCTTTCTGGAAGAAGAGGCCAAGAAGTCACATTCAAAGATTATTGCTCTATCTAGCAGCTGCTGGAATAGCTCAGTTAATGCTGCAAAATCTTACTGCAGGTCCCAGCAGCATGTCTGGTCTGCCTCCCCATTCTAATTTGGCTGAGGGATGTAAACTGCCCCCAAACTATTATGCAAACCCATTTCCAGCCAGTGATACTCTGTGCTGTAGCACCAGCTGGCCATTTATCCAGATAGCCTGGCTTTGAATCCTCTTGGCAGAGCAAAATATTTGAAAAGGAGAGAAATGACAGGCTGGGGGTGCTGCAGAAGATGGATGCCAAGAGCATGTGTGTGCCAAACAGGAGATAACAGTGCTACCTTCACTGTCCCAGGCTCTCCACCTGCAGTTCCTGCCACAGCTCTGCTCCTGCTGTCGGGGATCAAGAGGAAAATGTCAGTCCTGCAGGCAGAGTTTGAAGATGCAGCCTAAATCAAAGTCTTCTTAAGGGGAAGTTAGGTTTCCTCAGTGAATTTGGGAGGGGGACAAGGAGAGGTTTTTGACGCTGCTTAATTTGGTTTTTGCATCTATAATAAGAAATTCAACTCTGAATTTGTGTAATGAAATATAAACATTGAAGGAGCCGGGTGAATTTGGACGCTTGAGGGAAAATGTATGGTATTGTCATGAGGAGACAATTCCCTAAAGCAGAGGGGGGAAAGCCTCCCAGGGGCTGGGGGAGGCTAAGAAGGAAGGGACTGATGAACTAGTGACTGGGAAAAATACTGGATATTGCATTGTGGAGAAAAAGCTGATTTCTGTGTGCTGAAGTTTTAAGACTCAGTTCCTTACTTGATGTGTTTTCCAGCACAGACAAAGGTCAGTCTGTATAAGATCAAACCCTACAGTGGTTGACCCTTCGACCAGGGGGCTCTGGGAGCTGCAGTGGTGTTTGGTGTTGTCTCTAGAAGTAGCAGCTCTGCTGTTGGGGACCTGGGTCAACCTCGTCCCTGACGTGTTTAGGAAGCATTTTTAGATCCTTAAATGAAAGGCACAGTACAGCTGTAACGTAGGTCACAAAAAAAAAAGTTAACTTTTTAGTTCTTCTAATATAAAAATATTGAAGAGGAGGTTTGGTTCTGTCAGTGACCACCCTAAAGAGACCCTTCAGGCTGAACTGGCTACTGTCAGGCTACTCTGAGGGGAAAAATAAACTCTCCTATATCCTTGCTCTCAGCAAGTCCTTTAAAACATCACCGCATCCGAAGCACATGAGCTAGAAAAACAGCTGCCTGCTCTACTCCTTCCCTGCCTGATGAGGTTAATAATAACTTTGAATGCATATGTACAGCATTAGCTTTCATGGTAACATGCATAATTCAAATCCCCTAAAGAACAGTAGAGCTTTGAGGAAGCAAACTTCCTTAATGTACTGGGCAAGGATCCAGCTTTTACCAGCTGTTGAGGGTTGATGTACAATTTTTGGTTAAGTGAATAATTTATCATGGATATTATCTGTAGTGTATCACATGCCCACAGTTTGTAGGCCTGTGCATATGGCTCTTGAGATGCCACAACACTGCCATATGCTTCATGGCCCATTACCACTTCAAACTCCCTTAAGATGTTTTCCCCTGTGCTGAGAATGTTAGAAGTACAGTGGGACCACTGGCTCAGTGCAAACGCTGGCTGGGTTTCCCCCCCACACACACCCCCTCTGCATTTAAAAAAATCAACAGGAGAAAGGAAAGAAGGATTGTTCAGGCTCTCCACAGCCTTGTCATTTTAAATAAGCTGCCTGCTGCTTCACGGTCCAGATGTGGATTATAAATTCCACAGAACACCTGTCCTGAACTCATCCCCAGCTACCCCTTGTAATGTGGTTGTGTTGTGCTAGTACAAATCTATTTATTGTAGTTCCAGTCTACTCTCTGCATAAATCAAGGCTACTTTAATCAGGCAGTGAGGCCGCTCTGCCCCTTGTCCTTGCAGCACCAAAGCAGAACTGGGATGTACTGACAGCCTCCAAGAGAGGTATGTAATGCTGTGTCCCAAATTCCAACTGCAGATGTCCTATTTCTTGGTCAGGGGAAGGAATGCTGAAGCTGAAGAACTTCCTAGTTTATGTAGCTGCTACAGTGCAGGAGAGGGAGCAAACATCTGGGTTGTTTGTCAGGTTGATTGCTTATATAGGAAGCAGCTTCATGTGATAAAAAAGACTGAGTCAAGATGAGAACAGGCAGCTGCTTAGCTGTAATTACAGCTGTGTGTCCATCATGGGGATGGCTGCAGCTTCTTCAGCTACAGTGTGTGGGTTTAAGTTCAGTGACTTCATGCCCAGGAGAAATATCTTTGCTCTGTTGCATCTTGAACTCTTCTGTGGTGCTGCTGGTCGGTGCTCACCAGGCTCTCCATGGCTGATGGCTGGAGCTTGCCATAAATGAAATAATCCCTGCCAGTTGTCTCACTTCTGAACGTGTCTCAGGAGAATAAGTGCTAGAGCGGGATCTTTCACTGATGCTGGATGGATCATTTCAAGTTCAGTGTTACGTGTGATTTTCCTTCAGTAAAAATCCTACTCCCTTTCCAAACAAATTGCATTTTTAGATCTGTTTATTACCCTGCAGTTGTTTCCCTGGGTAAAGACTGTGCTCAGCTTTCCCTTGTGAGTCTGTTGCAGTCAGGTTGCTTTGCTTGTGCGAGTTGCTCTTTTTTTCCTATTTCCTGACTAGATTAGAATTTTTATGTTTTCAATATTTTTCCTTTCTTAGCGAGAGTATTGGTCTTTAGATCATCACTTCCAGGTGCTTAAGTATTAGAGAGATTGTAGGAATTGGAACAAGAAAGGGGTGTTTGTGAGGACCAGCAAAAATGTGCTGGGTTTCAGGTGAGTGGAGCACATCTGCTGTTCTGCTGTCACCAGGCACCCTCGGGTCCTGGTGGCGACGGGAACCCTCCTCCCTCTGCACCGGAGTGGGAGGAAGGCACTTCACCTTCTGCATGTTGATGATGCTCTCCTGTCAGTGAGGCAAGGAGAGCAGGGAGGGCTGGGATCAGTGAACTCCTGCCTGGCTGCAGAGAGGAGAAAAGGACCCCAAGGAATGAATCCCAGCTGGAGGAGCTGGCACTGGGGGCAGCTCTGTGGCCCTCTCCCTAAAAGAACTGACTGTGGGTACATTGCAAAGTGAGAGACTGGGTTCATCCTGCCAGGATTGAAACCTGTGCTTTGCTGAGATCTGGTCGTGTCAGAGCTGCTGCCTGGGCAAGGGAGGCTGTGCCTCGTGGAGCAGTGACCTTTCCTGGCTGGGATCAGCTCGGAGGGCACGGCGCTCCCTGGCTAAGTGCACTTGCTGCTAGCAAGGGAATGTTTATCCAGTGCTTTGATTAATCAACCTTGAAAAAGGGTCAGATGGATTTACTCAAGCATCTAAGTAACCTTCATAGCAGAAAATATAAGCTTGTGTGTGTGACAGGGCTGTCTGCAGCCCTGGACTTGGAATAATGCTGTCTGGAGTCTTGAGCTGCTACAGCATCACGGGCTGGGTCAGACACCAGAACACTTTTTGGTTCTGAGTACACTCCAGTTCTGTCATGGTGTTCACCATGGCCATACGTAGGTGTCTTTCCTGAGGAATCCTGCTGCTGGCAATTCAAAGAGTTTGTTTTCTCAATTTCCCTTTAACCTGGTGTCCTGCATTGCTG